CACCTCTGCCCCTGGAGCAGTCAGCACGGCTGTGCCTGAGCTTTTGCTTTGGATGAGCCAAAGAAGTCTGATGCTCCCCGAACCTTTTGGGTGAAGATGAGGGCCTTCCAGCTCTCCAAGGTCAGTGGAGGTGCTGGCAGATACTGCGGAGTGAACTGAGTTCCACCCCGCCCACAGGAATGTATATGCAGAAGCTTTAACGCCCTGTGTGACTGTATCTGGAGGTAGGGTCTTTAGGGGGTAGTTAAGGTTAAATGAGGTCATGAGGTCGGTGCCTATTCTAGTAGGATTGTGGCCTCGTGAGAAGAGGAAGAACGATCTCTTTCCCTCTGCCATGTAAGCAGGCAGGGAGGGTGCTGTCAACTTTGAGTCAGCAGGAGAGCTCTCACCAGAACCTGACCCGGAGGGCGCCCGGATCTTGAAGTTCCAGTCTCCAGAACTTTGGGAAAATAGATTTCTGTCATTTAAGCCACAGACTCTACAGTGTTTTGTTATGGCAGCTTCAGCTAAGACAGCAGGGTATTCGTCAAAAGAGTTTTAATGGCAGGTGACAGAAATGCAATTTGAGTTGGTGAGGAAAAGAAGAGGCCAGTGGTTTCCCACTGGCCTCCACGATGCTGTCTGTGCAGCTTCTCCACAAAGTGCAAGGGCTCGCCTCACCTTGGGGTTTGGTGGATGGACAGCAGGGGTCAGGGAGTGAGAAAAGGTCATTCAGGAGGACTCAGTGGAGCTACAGTCCATGCTCAGTGTAACCTGAAATTCACCACGTGTCACGTACACCATCCCATGGCAGATTTAAGCTTTTATGGAAGTTGCCATGGCAGCGCCTGTATGGAACGGAGAGGCCATTGTTTATTGCAGGATGATATTTTACCTTTGGGTAAGCTCACCATTAGTGAGTTAAAAAACCATCTTCTCGTTCCTTCTTTCCCTTAGAAAGCCACCTTCTTGCTTAAAGAAAATATATTTCATTTCCTTTTAGTAAGAAGAAGTGAGGGCCCTTGCTGTGGGCAGTCTGTCGTCGGCACATCAGACGTGGTATGAGAGGCCAGAGTTCCTAGCGTGGCCATCGTGCCTACAGGTGAAAGAAGTTTTGGTATTCCAAATACTTCTGTTTTATTTCAGATTTATTACTCTGACCACATTTGACCTCTCTGAAGCGTCAGGTGCTCCTTCAATATAATAGAGTATTCAAGAGAAGTTAAGTGTGTTCACCACACTATTCTCTTGACTTTTCTGATCTGTCCAGCGTGTTCTCCTGGTTCTCCACCTTCCCCTCTGGCTACTTATTCCTAGACTCTGCTTCCTCTGCCAATCCTTTAAATAATGGTCATCTGTAGGGACCTGCCTTGGTCCCTCTTCGCCCTGGCTCATCTCAACCACCTCCTTGTCCTCATCCACCACCTATATATACACTGAGGGCTCTCAAACTGCGTGTTCAGTCTGGTCCTTGGCTTCAGTCTCACACAGGGTACAGTCTGCTGGCCTTGGCTGTCTTGTGAGTGCCTCAGTACTCACCATGTTTGAGATTAAACTCCTCATCTTCGCCCCCCCATACCTCTACCCGCTACTGTCAAAGCTGTTTCTTCTTCTGGGTTCCATACTCAGAAGCCTGGTTTCTCTTCCCTCTCTGCATACCCTGCAACTCAAACAATCACTACATCAAAATTCTTCTGAAATTCATCTTAAGTAACTCTATCTCCATCTGCACTGCCAATGGCTTACTCTAGGCCACCCTACCTCCTCACCAGGATTATTACAAGCTTATCTCTGTTCTTGTCACCTGCCCCCTGTCTAAGTCATTTGATGTTGCAGTTAGAATGATTTTGTTATGACTGAAGAGCTAAGAGGCAAGTAACTTAAAACATTTACTATGCACACACAATAGATTAGACAATGGCTTGAAGATACAAAGATGAGTGAGACACTATGTATTTTTTTTATTGTTATTTTTGTTTGTGTTTTGTTTTGTAACTTTTGACCAAATATCTATGTGGTACTTCAAACAATCCTAATCATAGAACTTTTATTGAAATATAACCCACATACCATAAAATTCATCTTTTTAAAGCATATGTTAAATGGTTTTTAGTATTTTCAAAAAGCTGTGCAATCATCACCATTATCTAATTCCAGAACGCTTCATCTTGTTCCTCTTCCCCACCCCCTGGCGGCCACTCATTGACTTCCTGTCTCCAGAGATTTGCCTGTTCTGGATATTTCATTTTTGTCTGGCTGCTTATACTTAGCACAGTGATTTTCAACTGGTGTGACATAAGAATTTTTAAAACATGCAATACCTGACTATTTAGTCAGCGGAACTGTCTTCCTTCACCTTAGATTGCCAAACAAACAAACAAACAAACAAAAAAGACAACAGCCAACACAACAATAGCTGCCCAGTCTGAATGAATCAAAATTATAGTTTTTGTCAGATCAGAAAAAATATATATTTTTTGGTGTGCCATGGAATTTTAGTAATTTATTTGTGTGTGCCATGAGATAAAAGAAAGGATGGAAACTGCTGACTTAGCATAATGTTTTCAAGGTTTATCCACATTGTAGCATCAATCAGTACTTCTTTCCTTCAATACTTAACATTCCATCATATGGATATACCACGTTTTGTTATCTTTTCACCAGTTGATGGACTTGGAGGATGTTTTCACTTATTGGGTATTACAAATAATGCTGCTATAAACAATCAGGTACAAGTGTTTCTATGAAATTAGGTTTTCATTTCTAGGAGGTATATACCTAGGAGCGGAACTGCTGAGCCATATGGTAACTTTGTTTAAACTCTGAGGGATTGCCAGATTGTTTTCTAAAGCGGCTGGACCAATTTGCAATCCTACGAGCAGTGTTTGAGGGTTTCAATTTTTTCACATTCTTGCCAACACTGTCTTTCCTATGTTAGCCATACTAGTGAGTGTGAAATAGCATCTCATTATGGTTTGATTTGCATTTCCCTGATGACTAAAAATGCTGAGCATCTTTTCATGTATATTTGTATATGTTCTTTGGAGAAATAGCTATTCGAACCCTTTGCCTATTTAAAAAATTGAATTATCTTTTCACTGTTGAATTGTAAAAGTTTTTTACATATTCTGAATGCTAATCCCTTACCAGATATATGATTTGCAAATATTCTCTCATTTTGTGTGTTGTCATTTCGTTTTCTTAAATGGTCTTTGACACAAGAGTTTTTAATTTTGGTTTTAAAGATTTTCTTTCTTTCTTTTTAGAGAGACAGGGAGAGAGAAAGAGGAAGAGAAACATTGATGTGCCAGAGATACATCGATTGGTTGCCTCCCTCACACCCTTCACTGAGAACCTGGCTTACAACCTAGGCATGCGCTCTGATTAGGGGCAGAACAGGTGACTTTTGAATTCACAGGCTGGTGCTCAGTCCCCTGAGCCAAACCAGCCAGGACAAGTTTTTCATTTTGATGAAGTCCAATATATCTATTTTTTCTTTTATTGTTGTACTCTTAGTGCCATATCTAAGAAAACCATTGCCTACCCCAAGGTCATGATGGTCATATATTCCCGTTTTCTTCCAAGAGTTTTATTTTTTAAGATTTTTATTTACTTAATATTTAGAGAGAGGGGAGGGAGAAAGACAGGGAGAAAAATAATGATCAGTTGCTTCTCTTACATGCCTCAGCCGGGTCTGAATGGCAACCCAGGCCTGTATCCTGAAAGGGAATCCAACTGGCGACCTTTCTCTTTGTGGGATGATGCTCAACCAACTAAGTTACACCTGTCAGGGATCTTCTCAGAGTTTTATAGTTTTAGCTCTTCCATTTATCTCCTAGGATTTTTTTTTTTTGGTACCAAGTGTGTTCAACATCATCTTTTGTGGATATTCATAGAACTTCTTAACTGTATTGAATTGCTTGTCTTTCTTTGCAATTAGACTGTAAACTCTATGAGAGCAAAGATCTGAGTGGTCTTACTAAATCTCTTTTTAATGAATAGGTGAATTGGGTAACCAAAATATCAAGTTTCTTTTCTTTTTGGAATTGTATCCACTCTGTGCAGTAACACTGTTTTCCTTGTGATGTTGGCAGTGAAAATCCCTTGAGAATAACAATTCAGAAACAAATTAAATAACAGAATGATAGGGACTGTACTATGTAACAGGCTTTGGAGTGAAACTCATTTGGAGTCAAATGCTTATTTTCATTTAAAAACTGTGTAACCTTGGGCAAATTACATTACCCACGTCTTGTTCCTTAACACGGCGATTTAATTGGCATAGTAGGGATAATTGAGATCTTGTAACTGAAGTGCTTTGCACATTGTAAACACATTAAATAGTAGCATTTGTTATTGCCAAGGAATAACAACAATGTTGGGAAATCCTTTAACATACTGCTATTCAGAACTGTTAGACCATGTATTTTTGATTCCGAAAGGCACACACAAAAATACAATTTTCAATGTGGGAACGACCTTAAAGATGTATGCAAATACTCTGGAGTTCAGCGTGTCTTGAGCAACAGAAATACCCTTTTGGGTATCAGAACTTAGTGGAAAGGGGGCTGAACAGGGATTCCAGGCATTTTGAATTTATTTCAACGTGACACATATTTCAGGTTTGTACAACAGTTATTTGATTACCTGTCTGTCTCCTCCACTACAGTCAACACAGAAAACCTCTTTTTTAAGTCATTGGATTTCCAGTACAGTGGGCACGCGTTGGATGGTTGAATTGACGTGTTTTGGCCACTAGGGTCAGGAAGAATTCTCTGGAGAGGGATGGAAAAATCAGAGTGCAGAGGAAACACTTCGGATTCATTGTCAAGAGGAGGAGAGCGGCTCAGGTATGGGATACAAGTGAGTTCTAAAGATCCAGTCGGACGCAAGGAACCGAGACAATCACCTGGGAGCACTCATCTCCGGCTCCTTGCCCGGCAGGGCCACTTCCGGGAGAGGGCGGGTAGACCCGAAGAGGCGTGCCAGGAAGGAGGCCGTTTGCACTGCACCAGGCGGAAGTGTGCTAAAGGTAGCCGTGGTGCCGTTTCCGGTCCGGGTTAACGCGGTTTAGATACGTTACTGAGACAAACGTGGTTTGTCTGGTGCTGGGACACACTTCTGAGGACCAGTCAGCGGGGTGCGGAGGCGAGAACCGGCGTCCGGACTCAGAAGTCTGAAGTCTACTGGGAAGATCGGGAAAAGGGCCAGGAACCTGAGTACGATCTAACCCCTGTTTCCGAGGGGGCAACTTCCACCGGGGACCCCTCTGCTCTGGTAACGGCCAAAGAGGAGATGGCGCCAGTCGGGGAGCGGCCGAGGACAACACAGTAAGGAAGCACGAAAGCGGAGCAACCGGAGAAGCCTCGGAGAAGAGCCAGAGTCGTCACTGCCGCCACCACCGCCCCTACCATGGAAGGGGCAAAGCCAACATTACAGCTCGTGTACCAGGCAGTGCAGGCGCTTTACCACGACCCAGATCCCAGCGGAAAGGAGCGCGCCTCGTTTTGGCTCGGAGAGCTGCAGCGTTCGGTAAGGGGCCCAGAGAGGCCGTTCTGCCCCGCGGGGGGGAAAGGGCGGGGTGGGAACTGAACTGGAGCAGGAGCCTGAACCCACTGGTTGGCCTCGTGAGGTCCTCCTCCGGGAGGAGCTGCTTCCCGCGGGGTGGGGCTGAGAAGCTACAGCTAGCTACGCGGCTTTTTGGAAAGAAGTCGCAGCTGGCTGGTCGCGAACTGGCCCTTTCCCCACCCCGTAGATTCTGATTGGTAGGTCCTACACTTTACTATGGCATCATGTACTCCTCTTTAAGTTTTACTCTTGCTACTTGCTTCTTAGGCACGGCCTTTTGGTTTTGTCTTCCTTCAACCAAATCTAGCCCCAGTCATTCTCCATCTTCCACTTAAGGATGTCTTTATCTGTCTCCCTTCGGTGTCCAAGTGTTGCGCCTGGCAATTCCTTCCCAGTGGTAGCCTTACACCTCACTCTTCTTGCTGATGTTTCCCTCTAGTTTGAGTTCTTTATTCTCGAAACTTCTCAGGTGTCTGGATTCTTTTACAGGTAAAATTTGCCAGTGTTTTGGAGTGTAAGGTAATCTTAAGATAAAGAACATCAATCCTGATTTCAAAAAATCTTTGGAGTTGTTATTTTGCTGCATATTGGTTCTCTATCCTTGTCTTATCGGTTGTTTTTAGGATGTGGGTATCACAGCTTCCTTGATTATTCCATGTAACTGTGAGCATCCAGTGAGGGGTTTAATCACAAACTTTTATACCTATTGTATTTCTCCATTCTTTCATTGATTCACTGTCTTAAGTTTCCTTCTCTAATCTTCATACCTTTGCTGTGCTTTATTTTTGTGTGAGTGTGTGTACTTGATCTTGCTGGCTTTACCATTCTTATTTATGCATTTTATAAAAAAAATTGCCCCCTGCTCTTTAAAAAAAAACTACGTAATAACTGATGCTTAAAGGTGCTCTGCTGTTTTAAATCAGCATAGGCTGCAAGTGCATAATATATAAAAACTTGTAACTTTTAATATTACACTTAAAAAAAAAGCAGTTGGGAACTCAAGTCCTGGATAACCTTATGGGAAGATAAAAGAATAGGACTCACTGTAGGCTGCACAAGAAAAATCATTCACATATGGTCTTATTTAGAGTTAGTTTTGTGATCTGGGGAGTGAGGTTCCTGATTTATATAGTTTTCAAAGTAAATAGGAGAAATGCTACACCATACCAAAAGTCAGCCCTTCCCTACTAAACTTGCTTATTGTTGTGTGTATTCTAAATCAGTGTTTGGGTGCTTACCCTGTTCTTGAAACTGTGCTAGGCGTTGGCATGTGGGAATGAACCAGACAAAATCTCTGCTTGTCACATAGGGTGCTTGTCGTGATTAAATGAATAAATACCTGCAAAGAGCTAAGAAAAGTTTCTTGGGACATGGAGCTCAAAATACATTCGTTGTTATTTATTTATTTAGTCTCTTTTATTGATTCTAGACAGAGGGAAAGAGAGGGAGGAAAAGGGAGAAAAACACCAATGTGAGAGAGAAACATCGAAACATACATCAGTTGCCTCTTGCATGTGTCCCCACTGGGTACCAAAGCCTGCAACCCAGGCATGTGCCCTGACCTATTGACCTTTTGGTTTTCTAGATGGTGCCCAACCAACTGAACCACACTGGCCAGGGCCGCAATTGTTATTTAAATGGTAGTCACTTTTCTCATATTACTTTACTCTGCCCTGTGTGACAACTTTATGTCATCATCCTCATCCTCACCAACTCATCACATGGGGTCCCAACAGGACAGTTGGCACACTTGAAATAGGATAGTTTGAGGAGGGTTTCTTTTATAAAGGTACTATTTATAAAGATGTGGTACCTAAAGAGGTAGTTGTAACCTGTAGCCAAATTGTTAACATCCATGGGCTGGAAGGGGTAGGGAAGAGAGTGGTTACTGGAACTCTCAAGAAGAGTATGGAGTTGGCTGCCTTAAGTAGTAGTTTTCAGTTGAAGGGACATAGCCAGCATGAGGTGACTTTGCAGGAAGGAAGCTGGAGGAATAAATGTCTTGACTTTATTCTTCTAACCTCCCCCTGGGATTCCCTGTTGGACACACCCAGCCAGAAGCTAGGGGACATGGGAACCTGTTGATAAAGTCCATACAGATTTACATACTGGGGCAGGAAACACGGTAGGGAGGGTGGAAAAGCGGACCTGGAAAACACCAAGCACGGCCACACATCGTCACCTTTAGACAGCTTCTGCACCTGGACTGACAAGTCAGCTGACGCTTTGGCCTCAGTTCCTTACTTTTTTGGCAGCAACCTGGTCACACAGTTACACCCTGGATCTTGTCATTATTGAAAAGTAACCAGCTCCTCAAATCACCAACTCAGACATTCTGCTCTGATCACCACCTGCTCTTCTTTCATTCCATTAGCTCAAGAATCTCATGCAATTTTAATTTTGATAAAATTAAAGTTTTTTTTTAAACTGGGATTCAAAACTCAACTTTAAGACTTTTTAAAAAAGTTGTAAAATGGAAATTTTACAAGAAAACTGCCTAGGATGAAAAAGAGCCAGTATGTATAGACTTCCTCCTATGAAAGATAAGGACTTAGGCTCCCTGTACTTCCTCTCATCCAGTCTCTCCAACATAATTATATCACTTCTTCATTGGTTAAATTAATACACATGGTTAACCATGCAGCATATGTACCATGGTAATATTTCCCATTTGTGCAACTTTTTTTTCTCATGGTAAACATGACCCCCCCATTTGCTTCCTTTTCTATGTGTATCTATAGTAATTCATCCCAAACTTTTTCAGTAAGTGTAAGTATCATCTTAGTATGTTCAACCTAGCAACTGTTTCCTTTTTAATTTTTTTTATTTTTTGTGGAAGGAAACTTCTGAGAGCTTCCATCCCCTTGTTCAAATCTGGCCTGGTTGTTCTCCAAGTGTATTGCTTAATTTTTGTCCTGGGATCTCTATTTAACACTATCCTGGGGTATCCCCTTCACTTTCTTGTGTTGGATGCACTGAAATATTGGTCCCATGATCTTTTCTTGGATTAGTCCCTCATTTAATGGGCAGTTGAGAAGGGGATCTTAACCCCTTCTCTCATTGTCTTTCTTTTGGGCCACTTCTACCCTGAGAGAAGTCCTCTGGTCTTCTGCCTGGGGATTGTAAACAAGGCTGTTGGTGGCAGGTGGGATAATGACCCAGGGGATGGATCTCACCATTAAGCATTCAGGCTTTAAATTATCTCCCGTTTTCAGTATGATAGTTCTGTCCTTTATGTGAGTCTATTGTACAAGAGTCCACAGTCCCACTACTTCAGTGTTCCCAAAGGAAACCTTGAGTCTTCTGTAATGGTGGGTGAGGAGTAGCCTGGCTTCTCAGAGTCAGGAAGAAAATCTGGGAATCTAACTGCTGTACAGATTCTGGATCCACTTACTCCTTTGTTTTCTGGTCTACCTGTACACCTGTTGTACCTAGTACTTCTGATTTCTGAGCCTAACTGGGTTTTCGCAAACAAAGCGATTTGTTGCCCTTGGTGGCATTCTCATTCCCATCACCTAGCACCTAGGCTTATTTCAGCTTTCTCAGACCGGCCAAGACAGTTAACACTCGTGCATTAGCTCGACATTAGATACTGATTTCCACACTTGTGTCAGTCAGTATCTGTTGTGTTTCCATTCTCTTTGTTCTTGTGGATTTCCCCAACCTCCCTAACCCACTTTTTTTTTTAATCTTTTTATTCTGATTTTAGTGGATTTTTGAAAGGGATCTGAGGGCAAACCAATGTGTTCAATCAGTTCAGTCATGTTAAACAGAAGTCCCTGGGTTAGTTATTGAATTTCATCAAAACCTTGTTCCATTGACAGAGCCCCTACTTTTTCTTTATTCAATTTTGCCTTTATCCACTTTGGAGTCCAGGTGCTATCATTGCTAGTCACTTTCTTAAATATACCAGCAACCCTTCACCTCTGATTTGGTAAAACTTCAGCACGGGTATATTCAACTGCTTCTCCCTTTTTTTCCTGTCTGATACAGGTTCTCTGCATCTCATTTTCTTGATCTTTTGGTTATCCTGTGTCTCACTGGCATCTTCAGACTCCCTCTTACATTACAAGGTCCTTCCCTCCAGCATTCACACAGCTGTATTACCTTCCATAATAAGCAAATGGTTTGTGGGGCTGGAGGAATGCCCCCCTTGCCCATTATTGTGATTTCTTTGATTCTTTCTTACCTCTGTGGTTTTACTATTATTCTTTCCCAATGCTTTCTTCAAATGAAGAGACTAGCCCATCCTTTCAAAACCCAGGCTAAATTCTACTTTCTCCTTGAAGTCTTAACTGATTCTGTTCAACTAAAAGTTATTTCTGCTCATGCTGAACACCTAGAGGACTTTGTTTAATTGCATTTTTTTTTTTACTTTTTTGAAAATGTGCTTGTTTTGTCTACCCTAGTAGATTGTAGTATCCTTTTATTTGTTTATATAATCTGACAGCCATAATTGAGGGAATAAACCACGATTACTAAGAAAGAGACAAACTGCCTTGGCTGGTGTGGCTCAGTGGATCGAATGCCAGCTTATGAACCAAAGGGTTGCTGGTTCGATTCCCAGTCAGGGCACATGCCTGGGTTGTAAGCCAGGCCCCCCAGTACAGGGCATGTGAGAGGTAACTAGACATTGATGTTTCTCTCCCTCTCTTTCTCCCTCTCTTCCCCCCCCTCTAAAAATAAAAAAATAAAATGTAAAAAGGAAGAAACAAAGGATCAAGATTGGGGTGGGCAAAAGTAGCATTACAATTTTTCGTCTGGACAAAGACATGCAGCTTATGGTTGTAGTACAAGAATAAACTGTTTTACATACTATAACTGTAAACCTACTTTTGCCCACCCATTTGTTGAGTGAATAGCAGCTTATAGGCACTTCCAAAGGGACAGTTGGATAACTCAAATTTGTCTTTATGATTTCACTTATTTTTGCTGCTACTTTCTACCGTATCCCTGGCGAATTG